TTAATATTAATTCTTGGCGTTTCTTTTGTTGTTTTTCTTTTGAGTTCAGGTGTGCAGAATAGCCCCTGGCGGTTTTTTTTTTGTCTGTTTTTTGTCCGATTTATATTAAAATTAGTTCTTTTGTTGTTTTTAAATTCAGTTTGGAAAAAAAAAGATGGCGGATTATTTTAGATCAGGATAGTAAATTTCCTGGCGGATTGTTTTAGATCAGGATAGACAATATCCTGGTGTATTTGTTTGTTGAAATAATAAAAACAACGAACAAAGAGTTAAGTTGTTGTATGTGTGTTTGCGTGTTTCTATGTATGTGACCTGAGTTATTATAAGCCGGCATTTATTTAAGAACTTTGTGATTTAATTGCATCTGTATTTTGTGCTTTTGTCTGTGTATGTCTTGTTGGGTACCATATATGTTAATTGTAATCTATACAATCTGTATCGTTACTCTCCTATTCTATCTTTTGTCCTAAGGAGAGCTGTGCTTAGGCAATCACATGGTTAAAAAACTTTGTGCTTGCAAGTCTTCCTCCCTCCCCCCCCCTCCTTCTTTGTTGCTTTCTCTTGCTATGACTGCTATGAGTATTGGCTACAGGGGGGGGGTGAATGGGTGAAATGCTTGTAAACTCAGTGAGGAATGTGAGGGAAAAAAGGTATATTTGCTGGACGAATATCCTAGTTAGGAACCTTGTGTAATCTTGTATATGTTGTTAAGTAAGAGGTTATTGGCATGTTGGAATAAGGAAAGTTAGATTTTGTTGGAACAAATGAATTGTGGAGTTCATAAATGATAATGCAGAGAAAAGTACATTGCAGTTTGCATGTAATTGCAGCTATTCAGATGCTGTATTGTGGCAATCTTTATGCACACAATGTGAAATTGCCAATAGTGAAATTGACAAGAAATTGTTTGTTAATAAGAAAAAACAAAAGATCAGAAATGTTATGAAACTAGTCTGTACTTACAATGCATTGATTTGTAAACGTAATGCAGGTCAAGACAATTTAGAATCATCAGAAAAAGAAGTAGATTTGAATGGGTTAACAGAAGACAAATCAGATTTAAATGAACAGTGTAACAATGTAACAGAGAGCACATGCTGTAAACAGTCAGAAACAGTCTGTGAATTAGAGGATAGAGTTGAACTAAGAAATGATCTTATTTGCCAGTTTAGAAATGAAGTTAAGCAAGTGTGTGTTAATACAAGAAAAATACAGACACAGAATCTAATCCCAGAACCAATAGATACTGAAAATGTATCCTCACAGAGTGATTTGCAGAAATATAAATTTCAAGACAGAGCTGCAAAACTTAATTTGAAAATACATGAACAATTAATGAAAATTGTGAAATGTATTCCAGTTTATGACACGTCAGTGGATCCATTTACTAATGCTGGAATGTTTGAGTCAAATTTGGACAAATATAGCCTAAATGACGAACAAAGGAATAGATTGTTTAAAATATGGCTGCCGACTCAAATGGCATGTAGACTGACCACGCTTGTAAAATTTCAGGACAATGATAAAATAATATATGGAAATAAGCAAGACAGATTAACACAATTAATACAATTAACAACAGGGAATGATTTTGCAGACACTGAAATGTTGGAAAAACTAAAACCACACAAGGGGGAGGATATATTTAGTTTTCTTGCAAAATTTGAAAGTGCATATATACTTGTTGCTAATTTTCCTGAGAATCAGTTAATTAATGAATTTGTGAAAAAATTTCAAGATCTAGATCCAACTGCAATTGTGTTAGCTAGAGAAAAAAGCACTTTGACAGAAGTAGCTTTGTTATTGGATAACTTAAGGAGAGTAACCAATAATGAAGGGGTTAAAATGACTTGTGGATTTAGGCAGAGAAATTAGTGCAGATTATACACCCTTCCTTCTTCTTCTTCGTGGACTCAGTGTAAAAGAGTGATACAGACAGCTGAGCCACTCCCAATTTGTTCAAATCAAATGCAGAATATAACTCCTAAAGTTATTTGTTTTTGGTGCAATAAACAACATTATTTAAGATCTTGCAGATATTTTATCCGAGATATCAAATCAAAAGCAAATGAGAAATTAAATTTGTTGATTGAAAATTTTGACAGAGAAAATACATGTGGAGATAAATCAATTAAAGCCTTTCCTTGTAAACTTATAATCAGACAAATAAAAGCAATTTTAGCTAAATCGAAATTAGGAGACAGACAAGCAGTGCAGCGTAACACAGAAAGTTATAAGAATCACATAACTTCAAGAGATATGATCAGTTTAGGGAATGAGCATGGATATGCCTGCCAACAGATGTACACAGGCTGATTCCAGAATTAAAAACAGCACAATAATAGAGATCTATGTTAGTTTGTTGTTTGAATTAATTGTTAGTCTGTACTGTTTTTTCATTGTTTTTATATGTGTTATAAGAAAGTATTAGGTTAATTAAAATAAAAATTTAAATCAAGTTTGCACATATGGCAGAATGAAATACACTAATGTAGCAGTGAGGAACATGCAATGTTATATTGGGTGTATGCAATTATACAGTAACTCCAATCATTTTACAGAAGAAAAAACAATGTTGTTGCTTCTGAGGTTGATTTAAAATCTTTGATTTAATTAATGAGAATGAGATTTTAATGTCATGACTGATAATGGATTACTATATTTTGCAAAGCCTGGACATACACATGGTTTGGATATACTGAAGACAAAAGGAATAATATATGGGAATGGATAAGGCTGATTTCCCCCTATCCACAGCCACGCCTACTCCTAAAGTAACATCGCGTCCATCCTTACTTTGCCCATTTACTGTAGAATTGCCCGAATCCTAATGACCCATTCCACTACATGGTGTGACTTGTTTAAGCCTAAGATAAATTGGCTGATCAGGCTACCTGTATTAACAATGTCATCAACGATGAGTTAGCATCCTGCACAAGTGTAGATGGCTCTCCTTGGAGTAGCCTGTTAACTAAGCCTTGCTTTGTGGTTACCTTCACCTGTCCAATTACTCTGCTAGGTGCAGATGTCCTTCCCCCACTTGCAGGCCCCTATTACCTTATTAATTCTTTTGTTCCACACAGTGAAACCTGACCAAGAGGCAAGGGTCCTAGCTAGTCCCCCCAATACCTTTACCTGAATTATACAGGCCCCAAAGCCTGTCCAAGCTCTTACTATTCCCTAACAGGTTAAGGCTCTGGTGTTGAATGGTGCCCTGGTTCCCTGAGACTTTCCATGCAATATCCCACCTCTTCTTGTGATGGACGAATTCTGTGCAGGATAGTGTCACCCTGCAAAGATGATACTCTATTTACCTGGCCACTCTTCTGCCACTTCCCAGGGGTTGGAAATGATAAGACACTGACTATTATTTTTTTTTAGCCTTTTTCTTATGATCTGTTCCGGATTTGCTGTCACTACAGTGGACCAAGTATCTCACCTCAACAATGTCTGCACAAGAAGCTGAGCTATAGGCTCCCATCACAGCATGCAAGATCTCTGAAGGAAGACTGAACTCAGAGAAAGCATGTGGCAACTCTCTGGCTGACTAAGTTGTTCAATAAGTTGTAAGTGCACTAAGGGAAGTGGACAGAAAAGTGTCTGCTGAAGAAACTCCCATATTCACCATGTAAGATCCTACCCACAGACATCAAGCTCCCGAAGGAATAACAAGCAAGCTACTGACCCTGGAAAGAAAGAAAAAACAAACAAACCACAAGCTGGAAACAGAAAGGGGCAACTCTTAAAGACAGACTGTACTTCAACAATCTCAAGTTCTACTTGCCCAAGAACATATACTCAGCAGTGGTCCAGTGGGCCTACGGAGCATCTGTCTAGAACCCTCATGAACTCTTTTGATCAATAAATACTCTGAAGTACCAGGAATTGCCTCTCTGACCAACAGTTACTGTAAATCTTGTGCCATTTGTGCCAAGGGCAACTCAGGAAGAATGGAGGAAATCCCCAAGCATCTAGCCAAACCTCATTATCTCTTCCAGAGGAGTCAAGTCGACTACATCCAGAATGCCAAAGAATGGATGATTCAAATATGCACTAATTATAACAGACATGTTTTCAGGATGGCCAGAGGCCTATCCAGCCACTAAAGTGATAACCAAGACCACATGCTGAGTAGTGCACCGTGAAAGTTACAGAGATCACCCCGTGGATTCATCATTCCAGAATCAAGCCTGCCTCTGCATCATGTGAAGTAACATTTGTTGATCTTGACAACCCTTTTTGAAACTCCATTCTTAGAGAACAAAGATACTTGTTGAAAATAAATAAATAAATAAATAAATATCAACAAGTGGGTGTTTTGATGGCCATAATAATGCCTGACCACCTGCCATCGATGGAAAGCCAAATACCCCAAAAGGGGACCTCGTGAAACTAAAGAGAAACAAACATACTCCTTACCCTAGAAAACAGGTAAAGTACCAGTGCTGATATATAGATAAAATATATTATAGTAATATCAAAGATTCCACTAATTTTCGGCTGCTGTAACACCCCAATCTTATCTTTCAAGAATACAGTGAAAACCGGTGTATGGGTGAAGCGCTATATACAAATGGATAATCAAAGTGGAGAAATAATGCCCCGTGATGAACACCCAAATATTTAAGAGATACCTTCTGTTTATATAATTCACAATAATCCTTTATAGGAATTTCCTAAAAGCATAAACAGAAAAATACAAACATAGTGCAAATCTGTAATAGTGAAAGGTGTGGTAGAAATATACAATGGTCCCACTCACACTTTTAGGAGCTAAAAGGGTATAGCTCAATTGAAGCGCTTTCAGAGTCCGTAGAGGCGACTCTTATCCCTTCTTTTAACTCTTCCTTTCTTGTATTCTGGAATGTATAAAGGGAAATACCTCTGGTGCAATAACGTAGGCTGAATGTGTATATAATAGAAATGGAAATAGGGTACTTACAAACCCAGAGCCATCCACATCGGCTCTGATCCAATAGCTTATGTGGATTAAGGACCACACTCCTTCTTTGTGAATAGCAGGAAAAATGCCAATAGTGTATCTCCAAAATATAAACTTTATTGACTATATATACAATAAAAGTGCAATTAAATATAAAAAATAATATATATACAAAAATCACTATAATGGCATAAAAAAGTCCAGTAAATCAAAAGTCTTATAGCTCACAGAATTCCCAGGACGCGTTTCGCCGTAAAGGCTTCCTCTGCTGGATGTGAAAAAGTCTGTTACCTTCTTGTACTGGTTCCTGCTATATGTACCCCTCCTGGGGTGAAAATGCTTGCTTTTCGGCTTTGATTTTCGCGGGCTATCACCATGGAGATGGTGACGCCCAGCGTGTCAAGCCTCTTTCCTTTTCCATTTCCGGATTTCGCCGTCGGAACGTCACTTCCGGTTTTTTCGATCGCAAGCCGTCGCGTCATATCCGTGCGTTCCAGCTTGCGTTCCAGCTGCGTTCCGGCTTGCGGTTCAGCTTTCCTGTGTTATATTACACCGGCCTCATTGCAGGCAGACAGGGGGAGAACACAACATTTGTACATGTTCATTAAATTCTACAATCTTCACCCAAATTCTTTGTGTATGATTACAGTCCAGAAATCCTATGTGTACATATATATATTTTTCATATGATACAAATATATAGCCATCTTTGCTCTTTACTATTTAGGTAATTAAAAAATAGTGACTATGTACATAATATCAAATAATTTTAAAACCCCAAAAATATATATATTTCACCAGAAATCCATAAAAATATATAATAAAAATATTTTATCCTTGTCACTTATAAAAAGAGAAAACTAAAAACACTTATGCAAGAAATGACTTCTAAGAGTAAATAAAACTTAACCATATACAGTAGGGAATGTGTATATACACAAAAAATGAAAATCCACTAAAAGAAAATATAAAAATTCACAAAAAAGATATAAAATAGAACTGTAAAAGAGATTGCAGACTTACAATAACCTATTTCAAAAAATGACACATTTCGAAATCTGCATTTAATCCATTAGGAATCAAAGTGTCTAATTTAAAAATCCACTCCATTTCACATTTACTCATTTTTACATCAAAATTGGAGAGGAGGTAATTTTGATGTAAAAATGAGTAAATGTGAAATGGAGTGGATTTTTAAATTAGACACTTTGATTCCTAATGGATTAAATGCAGATTTCGAAATGTGTCATTTTTTGAAATAGGTTATTGTAAGTCTGCAATCTCTTTTACAGTTCTATTTTATATCTTTTTTGTGAATTTTTATATTTTCTTTTAGTGGATTTTCATTTTTTGTGTATATACACATTCCCTACTGTATATGGTTAAGTTTTATTTACTCTTAGAAGTCATTTCTTGCATAAGTGTTTTTAGTTTTCTCTTTTTATAAGTGACAAGGATAAAATATTTTTATTATATATTTTTATGGATTTCTGGTGAAATATATATATTTTTGGGGTTTTAAAATTATTTGATATTATGTACATAGTCACTATTTTTTAATTACCTAAATAGTAAAGAGCAAAGATGGCTATATATTTGTATCATATGAAAAATATATATATGTACACATAGGATTTCTGGACTGTAATCATACACAAAGAATTTGGGTGAAGATTGTAGAATTTAATGAACATGTACAAATGTTGTGTTCTCCCCCTGTCTGCCTGCAATGAGGCCGGTGTAATATAACACAGGAAAGCTGAACCGCAAGCCGGAACGCAGCTGGAACGCAAGCTGGAACGCACGGATATGACGCGACGGCTTGCGATCGAAAAAACCGGAAGTGACGTTCCGACGGCGAAACCCGGAAATGGAAAAGGAAAGAAGCTTGACACGCTGGGCGTCACCATCTCCATGGTGATAGCCCGCGAAAATCAAAGCCGAAAAGCAAGCATTTTCACCCCAGGAGGGGTACATATAGCAGGAACCAGTACAAGAAGGTAACAGACTTTTTCACATCCAGCTGAGGAAGCCTTTACGGCGAAACGCGTCCTGGGAATTCTGTGAGCTATAAGACTTTTGATTTACTGGACTTTTTTATGCCATTATAGTGATTTTTGTATATATAATTTTTTATATTTAATTGCACTTTTATTGTATATATAGTCAATAAAGTTTATATTTTGGAGATACACTATTGGCATTTTTCCTGCTATTCACAAAGAAGGAGTGTGGTCCTTAATCCACATAAGCTATTGGATCAGAGCCGATGTGGATGGCTCTGGGTTTGTAAGTACCCTATTTCCATTTCTATTATATACACATTCAGCCTACGTTATTGCACCAGAGGTATTTCCCTTTATACATTCCAGAATACAAGAAAGGAAGAGTTAAAAGAAGGGATAAGAGTCGCCTCTACGGACTCTGAAAGCGCTTCAATTGAGCTATACCCTTTTAGCTCCTAAAAGTGTGAGTGGGACCATTGTATATTTCTACCACACCTTTCACTATTACAGATTTGCACTATGTTTGTATTTTTCTGTTTATGCTTTTAGGAAATTCCTATAAAGGATTATTGTGAATTATATAAACAGAAGGTATCTCTTAAATATTTGGGTGTTCATCACGGGGCATTATTTCTCCACTTTGATTATCCATTTGTATATAGCGCTTCACCCATATACTCCTTACCCTGCAGCCCTCACGTCTGAGGTGCCATACGCACAGTCAAAGCTTCTTCAGGATCATCTGCTTATCTTGAGTTTGTGGTGATATTAATATTGAATGTTTAAATGATCTGAATCTGCCAGTACTAGGGTAGCATGAGACAAGATTTCTAAGAATAAGTAAATGTGCCCTAGCCTAGGTTATTATGTCCATACACATAACACATGACAATCCCCAAGGTACTCTTGACACACCTCATTCATGCTTCAGGACAAAAAGGAGTACCCCTATAAAGGGTGGTTTTACCCACACATATATATATATATATATATATATATATGTATATTAATGCCATAGGGGTGTCAAGGGGGGTACCAAATGATTTTAAGGTAAGAAACTAAGTTTGAATCTATTCTCCCAAGCATTACAGCTAATAAAATCTGAATTGGAAGGGAAGAGGTTTATACAATAAACAGGAGACCTTTTTCTTACAGGACATGTATGACTCAGCTGAATGGGTAGGTGCCACGCACATGACTGTTAATCCCCTCAAACCACACATTAGGACTTTAAAAGACATGGTAGTCATCCCATATTTGAGGATAAGAGGGCTGTAGAGACAGGTTTCTCTGACACTAACTTGTGACTTGAATGGATGAAATACAATGCTACTAAACATAACAAGTCTAACTGCTATGTCTGCGGAGGAGCGAGGCCTCACCCAGGTACAGTATCCCTGAACCTTCCTCCGGATATGAAGTATGCGTTTTAAGTCTCTACACTGTATTTAAACCTAAGCGGTCAGCATGCGAGTCATGGAAACTTAATACCCAATCATTACTAAAAATATTATGCCCAGACGAAGGCATTACTATATATCCCGGGAACTATACTTGTTATGGGATATATGGTGGGATAGGGCGGTTACAAGCTACCTCTCAGATGACCTTCCAGAATAGAATGGCCTTAGACATGATCCTGGCGGAGAAAGGTGGAGTATGTAAAATACTCCCAGTCACCATGACATGCTGTACCTATATTCCAGATAATACAGGCCCTAATGGTAAGGTAACGTTGGCAATAGAAAAGTTAAAGAGTTTGTCCAATGAACTGAAACGAAATTCTGGGGCCGCAGATCCATGGGAAAAATGGTTTGGATGGATGACTGGATGGCAAGGTGCTCTGGCCCAAATAGGTGTTGCCGTTTTAATAACGATAATCATCCTCGCTCTTCTTGTTTGTTGTGTGTTACCCTGTCTTAAGAAATGCCTACAAAAGACAGTTGATCAGACAATCGACCAGACCACCCCGACCTTCCTTCACCAAGAGATTGACGACATCGACCGTGATACACCACACCCTTACAGTCCCACCGCACTAAATCAACAGCTACTTCCTCTTAAGGACATTTAGGGATAGCGTCTGTCTCAACGGGCACAAGTCTGTCGCGGGAAGAAGTAGTGGACAAGCTGCTACAGGTTACCCGCGAAGTGAAGTGTTCGAGGCCTGTTCAGACAGATGTGCAAGATAGCCTTTTGTTATTTTTCTATAGGGACAGTATTAGAATGAGAGATAGTAGTTTTAGTAAAAATTGCCATTTTAAGGGGGGACTGTTATGGACAGATGAATTAAAATAAAATGGCTATTTACTAATGTCTATTTATTCTCTGTTCACTATGTTAAAACTTGCTTCTAGAGTAAATATTCCCTTCCCCCCTACAATGTGTTCAGCTGCTGTTTACTATGTAAATTCTTCATCCTGATAAGCATCCCCCTTCAAATCAATCAAACCTTGTGTAACCAAAATTCCTGTGATAACAACTCCCTTTACTAACTCCTCCCCCACTACCTTTGTGCCAGTTAACAGCTATATGCCACGTATAACAAAATGGAGAATCACTGTTAAAGTAAACTGAAAGAAACTACTCACTCCCCCTCCCATCGTGTATCCAGAAGTCTGTAATGATGACACTACATCCTGTAGGGGGGTTTAGACAAGAACCCTTAGACTGTTAACCAATTGGTGAATGTATACTGTATGTTTAAACTGTGACGTATTTTTGCTTTAAGAAGGAGCCCCCACTCCGGGGAATAAAGCATTCCTGGGTTTTTCACTGATCAGAAACTTTGTCTCCGGTGTGAATTACTTCTAGGGAAAGCGTGCACGCATTAATCAATCAATTTGGAAGGTGTAGATAGACAAATTATCAAAGTTTTCTTTGATCTAAAACACGACTATTATGCCACCGCGCAAAAGAGCCACTTGCCGGGCAAAATCGGCTAGATTATGGAAAAGGGCAAAAGCCCAAGTAGATTCTGAGTCGGATCTCAGCGACATTGAGGAGGAAGCTTATATGGATTCGGAAGATCCATCGGATCCCGAATCAGTTAGCCCGGTCGAGGAATACGACCCATCTCGAGACTATAGTCCGCTCCAGTCGGAAATACCTATTGTGGAGCACAAGGCCCAAGGGGACACGGATAAGATTTTGGACCACCATGGGGAACCCCTATTTGACCCCGATTTACTACACCACCCACGGTCAGCAGAGTGGTCCCCCTCAGAACATGTGGCCAAGTATATAGTGTCTAGAGTACGCAAGCCTTTAGATAAGGCGACACGGAATAAACTACGGGCAGATTGCCCACTCCCCACGGTCCCAGATGATGCCTGCAGAACACCTGCAGTTGACCCAAAAATTACCCAGTTCTTGGGTAAGATGACCAGGAGCTAGATTGTGCCACTATAAAGGGATGGATCCAACGGGTTATTTGCTTGATTGGCAATGCCAACACTGCGATGGCCACACAGCGCCGCAAGGCAATATTATTAAAAATAGAACCGAAGCTGGTTAATATGGCCCTGAATGAACCGGGCGCCCAAGCCAAAGGTCTCCTATTCGGAGACAATTTTGTCAAGGAGCTAGGCTCCTTTGTACACACATTTACCGCCCTGGACAAAGCGCAATCTAACATGCGCAAGGTGTTTCACCCCAAGGTTTTTGGTGGGGCAGGAAGAGCAAGGAGCCGTCTGTCCGGCCGTGTTAACAGGAGTTCATTTAGACAGAACCGAGGCTCCTATACTGGACGAGCCAGTTTCACAGAATACCGCAACGCTCCGGCGTTCTTTCCACAGCGTGGGGACCATGGGTTGCTCGTGGACCACGAAACGTTCATTCTGGACGACGACCTTATGGTAAGTCCTCTCAATTTTCATTCTTCCCTATGGGCAGTGGGGGACAGACTCTGACATTTTTTCCACACTTGGTCCCACATTTCATCAGATGCTTGGGTGTTAAACACCGTAAAAGGGTATACCATAGATTTCCTGTCC